GTGTTCTTGGTTGGGAAATTAAGAGAAACTAAGCAGATAGACGGGCCCTGTTTTTGTGGTGATGGCATCTGAGCTGGCTTTGGTTGGCCTGGGGGAGCTGGTGGCTGTGGCACCTGGGCGCTGCTCACAGCCATGGTGGGCAGCTGTAGGTGCAAGGGGACCAGCACAGGTCAGCATTGAGGCGCCCCGCTGTGCCACCCACTTCTGGGGGTGGAGGTGGGTGGGGAGGGACCTGCCTGTGCCCAGGGAGGAGGAAACCTGATTCCCGGGAGCTGGAGCCCGAACCCCACAGCACCGCCAGCACGGCAAAAAGAAAACAGCAGAAGGGAAAGAAAGAGCAGTAAGGGAGGAAAAGTCTGCTCCTCTGTGCCCGAGACATTTCAGAGGTAAGGAAACTTCACTCAACAAATAAATAAATAAATAAAATTAATTGAGCCTTGGCTTCGGAGTGGGGATTTCTGATCATTCGCGTGTCATGTCATCCTGCCGCCGGGTCCCAGCAGTAGTTTCAGTGCACTCTTGGTTGTTGCCTTCTGATGGAGGATCGCTGTTTTCCCTGCCAGCAACAGTTTTGGCAGTGCTGTTCTTTTGGCTGGTGTAATTGTCATTTAGTATTTTCAGTGTGATTTACAAATAGCGGGAAGCTCTTCCTTGTGGCTCCCCAAAGAGGTGTGATAGACATGAGCTGCTCCATCAGAGCAAACAGGGCTGCAAGTGCTTGGGATGAGCAAACCCTATGCTCAGTAGGAACCCTCATGAGATTTACTGAAGTGTGGCACCTAAATCTCTGTCTCTGGAGATAATTATTCTGGAGATAAATGCTGGTGCAGAGCATACGGTGCTGAGGACTTACCTGAACAGTGGCTTCTTACCTGCTTATGGGGGAGTGAATTTTGCTCCAGCTGCCCCAGTGCCCTGGCCACAGGGGGGGCTGCAGATGCCTGGACAGATTTCTGGTGTCACCTGAGGTGCTAGAGCAGATATCCCACCTGGTCAGCTGCTGCTGTTTAGGAGCTGTGTGGGTCTCCCATAGGTGCTAGCTGCTATTCTGACACCTCTGGGGGTGTCTTGGCCAACCCCCAGTGGTGGGGTGCCCCTCTGCACCCTTCTGCTTGAGGACCCGAGCCTCACTGGTGGGTCCTGCATGGCAATGCAGGGTTTCCCATGTCACGGGTTTCAGGTTTTACAGGTGCCCATGTTTCATTACGGTAAAGCTCTTCATGACTCAGCCACAAGGCAAAGCATTACCTCTTCTCATGGGCTCTTCCAAACACCAACTTTGGTTTCTGTTGAGTTAGTTTCACCTGGAAATGGTCTGTAGATGGAGGGCAAGGCGATCAGCTGGTGGCACCGTGTGCTGCTGGCAGCTACAGCTGCCTCCAAGGATGCTGATCAGAGACAGTAGTAAGCAATACCCTATGCATCCTCTGGGATGCTGGACTGTAATGGTCTGTAACAGCAAGGTCAGTGTACGTGGCCCAGCCAACTAATCTGCTATTAGCCCTGAATGACCTCTTCCTAACTGCACCTCAGTGCAATGTTTGTAACGTGCCCAGCCTGGGAGTGCTGTACCTCTGTGCTTTCCGAGCTCGTGCTGCCCTCTACCTCAGCTGAGATTTCGTGTCTTTTCTTAGATGCTTCTTTCAGTTATCAGGTAAATCCCTGGCCCTGCTGCAGCCCCCAGACCACTGCTGGGTGGTGCTGAATGCTTCCTTGGCCAAGTCCGGCACCTCTGGATGGACATCATCAGAGGAGAGCTGGTTGTTACCCTGTGCATGGGTTGAGCCCTTCCCGACAGTGTCTGAGCATGCACTCAGCAGGAAAGCCTGTGGGTTAAAGCTTTGTGGTGTGCTTAATCCCTGCCACGGGATTAAGATGATATTTTCTTACCAGGAAAAGCAGCCGTGATCAGTTCTAGGGATCTAGCATTAGAAACCAGAACCGCTGGGGGGGACAAGCCAGCTGTCTCCCGTTGCAATCCAGAACTCGTGGCTGTTTCTTGATCACATAAAAGGATGGGGATTAATGCAGGGGAGTGAGGCAGAGGACCACATGTCCAGAGAGAATCACTGTGCTGGTAGGGGTGGGCAGGGTGAGGAGGAGCTAGGGGCTTGCTGCTTGCCAGACATCCCATCCTGGGAAGCCAGGGCTAGGGGAGCAGGCTGGGCAGCCCCACTCCTCTGCGTGGCTGTTCCTACCCTCTGGCTCTGCTTCATGCTCTCACATGCTCTCACAAACCTCAGCAATTACAGGGTGCAGCACCTCAGGTCCTCAAAGGATGACATTTCTACCTTTGGCTGGGCAACATAGTGCCAGTAATTGTCAGTTCTTGGATCTTGGAGATGATGCAGCATCCTTTGGCTGTCTTTGCACATCCAGGCTGTGACACAGTCTTGCATCTTCCCTGAGTCTCTGGACTTTCTATGAAAACAACCAGAGCAGTGTGATGACTGGTCTGTCAGCTCAACTAAACTGCCTTGTGATGCTTCCATGTTTTGTTTTTTATTTTATTTTTTAACCAAACAAACAGACAAAAAACCACTGTGGGAAGTGTCATTTCCTACTAGCTGCCTAAAACAAATGTGTTTGAATGTATCCAAATGCTTCCATTGCAGTGCAGGAAGCTGCTTTGCTGGCTGATAGCAAAGGTTGCTTTGTGATCACCTGAAGGTTTCACAGTTAAATCCCAACCTTCTCTGGCAGTGACTGTGGACCCCAGCAGGAGCTGAGATGGCCGCTGCACCGAAAGAGGCAGTAAACACTATTGCCTTGGAGGAAATCCACACGGAGGGCCAAGAACCCCCCAAAGGTAGGTTTGTGTTTGCAGAACTAGAAATTTTGGTCCTCGTGTAGTGGGGTAGAGGCAGGGTTCTGGCACTCCAGTTACCTACAATCTCTGCACATGCAGCCACGGGGACCAGCTTCATACTGCTCCTCTCCCAACATAGCTGCCAGGCTTGCCTTCCACCAGCAGCAGTGGAAGAGCTGCCTGCCTTGGTTTCTATTATTATATTTTTTTCTTCTGAAATTCTGTTCCATTTCAGGGTTTGACCTGACCAAGCTGGAAGATAAATGTCCTGACAGGAAAATTTGTACAGCTCTGACTTTACCTAAATAAGAGCTTAAATGTATACATGCACTGAAAGCTTCCTGCAAGCTCTGTTTATAAAGCCATCCCAGCTCATGTCTTGAGCTGCTTGCTTTGTTCTTGAAATGGGGGAAGAAAATGAGGAAAAAAGCTTTAGGAGACAATATCAAGCCCAGAGCCCCAGCTGTGCCTGTTGCAGCAGCTGTGACTATTGTAGGGCTGGGGGGACAGGACAGTCCCCAGCCCTGGCTCACAACACCCATGCCAGGACAAGTTAGGTGTTTCCAGCCTCTCTACTGGTACAGTCCACATTAAACGTTCATATTTCATAAAGACCTGAGGAGGTACAACTTGACGACTGATTCTGTTTTGTTTTGTCTCTTTCTTGCCCGTTGGTGTTACAGGGCAGAAGACATTTACGGTGGAAGAAGCTGTGGAAACCATTGGGTTTGGGAGGTTCCACATTGCACTTTTCCTAATCATGGGAAGCACCGGGGTAGGTGTCTGCAGCCAACTGCACGCTACCAAAAAAACACTCTCCAACTTTTCTTTCTCACTGTGCAATAACAACTGAAAGCACCATGCACACATATTGCAGCCCTTTTTTTTTTTTCACACATACTTTCTCAAGAAGGATTTCTGTTTTTGTCACCTTTGTCCAAAATCAACATTGGACGAAACTGATATTGAGCCTATTTCAAGACAAAGCAGAACAGGTTGCCCGGGTTATCCTGACCTTGCCCCTGCCCTGGGTCACCGTCCCACCTCCTGAGGGTTAGGTTCAGCCTCCTGACTGCATTTTTCATGCCATCCCCAGGGCACCCAAACCCTGTACAGTCTGACACAGGATGGCTGCCCTCCTCTCACCCTTGGCTACCTGGAAAACCTCCTAATTAACTAACTGACAGGGTCCTAGGTTAACAGCACATCTGGTTTGGGAACCAGGGACAGGTTGGGGTGAAGGTGTGATGAAGGACATATCCGTGAGGATTGCCACAGCTGAGATGGGAAGGCCTGTAGCTATGAGTGAATGATGGCTTATTTCTTAACTAAAGCCAGCTGCTAGGAGCAAACAGACAGCAGAACAAATTTATTTTATATTTTATTTTATTATTTTATTTTATTTTATTATTTTATTTTATTTTATTTTATTTTATTATTTTATTTTATTATTTTATTTTATTTTATTTTATTTTATTTTATTTTATTTTATTTTATTTTATTTTATTTTATTTTATTTTATTTTATTTTATTTTATTTTATTTTATTATTTTAGGGACCTCTGTGGAGGCACCACAGTTTCACAGGGCCTGTTTCAGCATGGTGGGACTGCCCTGGCTGCAGGCTAGGTGGGGCTGAGGACCTTCACCCCACGGGCTCCTCACACCTTCTCTTCTTGCTAACGTGCACACTTGTTCCCAAAGGTGGCTGAAGCCATGGAGATCATGCTAATAGCTGTTGTGTCTCCCCTCATCCGATGTGAGTGGCAGCTTCATGACTGGCAGGTGGCTCTAGTGACGACGGTGAGTGACTTGTGCTCCCCCATGCAAGTCATCCTCCACAAGGGCAGTGTCTGCAGCACCACCACGCTTCGTAACACACATTTCCCAATTGACCAAATAAATTCCAAGTCCTCCCCTCGGGGACAGGCCACAACTTTAAAATTCCAGGAGGCAATCTGTCATGAGCACACATCCATGCCCAGAAGCGTAAAGCCAAAATGATCCCCCAGTTCCTGACTCTTCAGAAATCCTTGCCACCCTTTGCTTGAGGACTGACCCTATGCATAGCTCCAGCACTGCGGTTCATCCTCCTGCCTAGAAAGCATTTAGCTCACCTCCATTTTAGTGAGCAGAGCTGCCTGGTGCTGCTGGGAGCGATCACCCCACAGCTGTCTTCCAATTCCCCGTAGATGGTGTTTTTTGGCTACATGGTCTTCAGCATAGCGCTCGGGCTCCTGGCCGACAGGTATGGACGCTGGAAGGTGAGTGGGCACCGGGGCTGTGCATGCCCTTCCCCAGCCCTGTGACAAGCCACGAGGGGCCGGCCACCACCTGTCCCCTTGTCCCTTTGCTGTGCAGTGTCCCTGAGGAACTGTTCCTGTGAGAGTCCAGGGGTTTGTTGCATGGGGCTCAAAACCCTTCGGATCCACCCGAGCCCTTCCCAAGGCCTCTGGAAGGCTGGGAGTGCTTGGTTCTGTGACCCTGATTTTGCCCCTTGCAGATTCTGCTGCTCTCCTTCCTCTGGGGAGCCTACTTCTCCCTGCTGACCTCGTTTGCCCCATCCTACATCTGGTTCGTCTTCCTGAGGACCATGGTGGGAGGCGGCGTGTCAGGCCACGCGCAGGGGTAAGGCCGTGCTTGGCGCCTTGTGAGGAGCACCCTGACACCAGGTTCTGTTCATGAATAAGCAAGAGCACGGCTCTGCTTTCCTTCCTCCGAGGAGGCACCCAGGGGCCCGCAGGGGCTGTATTCCTGGGTTTTAAGCAAGAAAGGCCCCACAGCTCATTTTGGCTGACCTTGGCACAGCGCCCGGTGTCTCGTGCGCTGAGCCTGATAAGCTGAGGCTGCGCGGTGACCGGGAGGAGACGGCCAGGAAGGGGCCTCCGAGGGGGCTGGAAGTGCAGAGGAGAGCAAATTCCCACATCGCCTTAAAGCAAAACGCCGTTCTGTAATGCCATCGAATCCCTGTCCGTCTACCTAAGCTGCAGTTCCCAAGGGCTCCTCAGCCCTGGGACGGAGAGGGCAGCTGGTTTGCATTAAACCAGTGACAGGGGGATTATTAAACACACACATTACAAAAACAATTAGACAGGTAACAGATGAGCAAAGGCTGCTTCCTTGTAAAAAAGTCACAACAATTCTGCTTAGAGTAGCGAATTCTTCCTGAACTGGTGTAAAACCTTCCCACTTAAATGAAACTTTTTGCCCTTTTGGTGCGGAAGCAGGGAGTTGTTTTTTTGGGGGGAGGGGAGGAGAAATTCACAGTATTAACAGCCACTTCACTAAGAGCCTGGCAAAATAAGTGATTTCTTTTGACTCTGACAGGGAGACAAATGCAACATTTCAGTTTTTTCCATGGTTCCTCAAAGTCTGGGTTGAAACTCAGGGCAGTCAAGAAAGATCCTGTTCCACTCGCGGGGCTGCGGGAGGTACAGCATTGCCCTTCCTGCAGCAAACTTCTCTCAGCCTTTCCCTTACCTCCCTTTGAGTCTCCATGAATGCTGGTTGGAATACATGATTTTTTCCAAACCCACTGCCAGGTAGGACAGCCCAAAGCAGGCTGCACTGGCCCAAGAGCCCTTTGCTGAAGCGAAGGATGGGAGGCTGGTGCTGCCAGCAGAAAGAGACACCCTGTGCCCGGGTTGTGCCTCCACCAGCCTCCTGGGGCTGCCTCCCTCAGAGGATGGAGGGCAGGACCAGGCAGGTAAGGTGCTTTCAGTCCCTTCTGCTGCTGGTGTTGCACATTTTATGAAACACCTCAACAGCTGAGATGACAGAAAGAGCCAACATGGACTCTTCCCCTTCTCTTTTTGGCCAAGAAGGGGATTTATGCCAGGCACCTCCCTGCATGTAACCTGGAGCCTTCCTGACCGAGGGCATGTTGAGCAGGGTCCCCCCGGGAGCTCAGCGGTGGAAGAGGGGTGGTCTCTCTGTCTGCGGGCAGCCACTTTCAGTACTGGCTGGACTGAACTGCTATTTGACTAGTGCAGACATTCTCACTGTCTCTGTCTTTCTGCCTTATTTCCCCTTTTCACCAGGCTTATCATAAAAACAGAATTTTTACCTACCAAGTACCGAGGATACATGCTGCCCTTATCCCAGGTAAGAGCCAGTACATTACTTTTTCTTCTCATCCAGAGTCCCAGGAGATTTGTCCTGCTACTGTTTGAAAACCAGGTCTCTGACAGGCCAGCCTGTTTGTGTTAGTCTTGGGCCAAACGAGTGCCTTCTGCCTTCTGTGCTCAGAGCATTATTAAGGATGCACACCCACAGCTGCATGCAGAAGGGGAGCAATTCCTTTTCAGATAACTGGATGCTCCTAACATTGTGGGGAGACTGAATGACAGCTGACATCCAGCCTTTCGGGTACATTGCTGATAGGTATTTACAGCATTGCCTGCTGTAATGGGGTCAGTGCTGGTGGGCCATCACTTGAGAGCCTGGGACAGCACTGCCAGCACAGGGCTTCAGCAGGAGTGTGCGTGTTTTCTCCACTGAGAAGCAGGATGAAGTAGTCAGCATGGTGCTAGATGGGGCAGAGGATGCTCACAGCTTCACCTGTGCTTATCCCACCTTTCTTTGGGGTGCACCAGGAGGCCCTGGGCTTTCTCTGATGTTCACAGTGAGCAAAAAGCTCACGCAGATGTAAGTCAAAAGTGAGGTGGGCTGAGGAGGGGTCTCCATGGTCAAGGGCAGCTCAACATTTCCAATTGGTGTGTGCTGGGGGTCTCACATTGGGTAAATACAAACCGTTGAGTCTGAATGATGGTAATAATCCGTGATTAACGAGGCAGCTCCCAGATGAGGTCCTGGGCTGGGCCTCTCCCTGCAGGGCCAGCATAGTTAGTCCCAAGCTAGGCCTGAGACGTGCTGGAAGGGATGTGGCTGCCTGTGGGACCAAAACCACAGTGAGCACGACTGGGGTTATTCCTTGCTCAGCCTCCTGCAATGACCGCTTCATGCATATGCAAATGATTTGTGAAGGCCTCGCTGAACCCATGAATTCATCTGGCTGTTGGAACAGAAGGGTTGGTACACAGTCTTGGTGGCAGGGGTAGTTTGCTTTGCATTATGTTTGATCCCAGGGCTTCATTACCCAAGTGTCATCGGAAACACAGAGGTTTATAAAGAGGAATAATCTTGCATTTCTCCCCAGAAACGTGTTATTTCTGCCCACAGCTTACTCATGAACTTGCTGTGGCTTTTGCGAGTTTGTTTGTGATTTGTACTGCTGAAACTCCTTTGTGTGGTCCCCCTGAAAGGGACATTTCTCCTGACGGCAACAAGTGAACTGCGGGGAGGAAAGTACTTGCAGGTTTGGGGCCACATTATCCACTGGTATTACTTGGCACTGGAGACCCACAACTTCCAGCAGTAGAAATCTCGCCCCTTTTTGCCTTTGGTGCTTGTAAATCTGCTGCTACCCCGCGGAGATTCAGACAAGAGAAAAATTCACAGTCCTGATTGTTAGCAGAGAAGCGACTGGAAGAACAAACGAGGCTTTAAGTACAATAGCAGCTACAGCACATATTATCTGTTTTCATCCAGAGCTAATTTCTTTCCCTCTTTCCTTCAACCCAAACTCAGCTTCTCTGACAGCCTCAGGATAGCTCAGTGTGAACTGCAGCTCTCCCCAGGACAGATCCCCACCTATCCAGGGAATGAGACCAGAAGGCATGAAAATAAGCAAATCATTGCTGTTAACCCCTCCTTTTCCCTTGGAAAGGTGTTCTGGTTGGCAGGATCCTTGTTAATCATTGGCCTGGCATCAGTGGTGAACCCAACCATCGGCTGGCGGTGGTTGATCAGAATCGCCTCCATCCCCGGCATCATTCTCATCCTGGTGTTCAAGGTAGGAAGAACCTCTCTGCCCGTTCACCACTGCACCACCACCGACCTGGCGTGTCCCCAGGCACCAAGAGACATCACCCTCACTGTGTCAGCCAACCACATCTTCTCCAGGTCACTCACTATTCAGAAATACCAGCCCCAGACATCTTATTTCGTAGAGTGACATGGAAAATCCCTACTTCTAGTGCTCTTGGGCAGGATGGGTGGCTGTGGGCAGCACAGGCTGGTAGGAGATGGGCAGGAGGGCTTTCTACAACTGCTCTGCTTTCAGTTCATCCCTGAGTCAGCACGGTACAACGTGTCCACGGGGAACACAGCGGCTGCCCTGGCCACGCTGAGGAGGATAGCCAAGATAAACCGGGCGACGATGCCCGAGGGGGTGCTGCAGGAGCCCCCCAAGGTAAGCCCAGCCTGCAGTGCTGCCTGGGGACATGGGGGTTGCTGAGGGGGCACGCCATGATTTTTTTTGTGTTTACTGATTTTGCACTGCTTGTCCTATTTCTCTTAGCTATCCTCCTTATTTTGGGACACTGGGACCTTCCCCTTATCTGCTTAACATACTCCATGCCACTGTTATGCCTGCACATTCACCTTTGAATATGCAAGCTTAGTGGAATTTTCCACCACAAAAGCCCGATTTATTTCTCACACTACCACCACTGGATCTTCCCAGAGTGTCCCCAGCACCATGAGACCCAGGACCCATTCCTTGGGGTCCCCCTAGGTGCCATGATCATGGGACAAAAGTCCAACCTGCAGGTCCCAGAGCCTTTCCCAACCCCTGGCCTTGCTTGTGGGCCAGCTCCCAGCATCCCAGGTCCCTGCAAGTGGAGCCAGAGGGGCAGAGCAGGGGAGGACATTTCGGAGCTGCCACCATTTCCACCTCTTTAAGGAAGCTGAGCAGCTCCAGAGCTGATTGCTTCTCATGTCCAGGGCCTCAAAGTTATTATCCGACTCTTTTAAGTCCCTTCCTTGGACCTCTTTGCAGCTTATTCAATCCCACAGGTACCACACATTGTCCTCAGCAATTCATGCAAAATGTATTGTATTGGAATTAATTAGGATTAAAGCTTTGCTGTAGTTTAATTTCATTTATGTAATGGAACCACATTGGCCAGGCACAGGGTTTTTGTTAGTTGTTCACCCTCCTGGGCTTCAATAGTAATAATAGTAATAACAACAACAATAATAATAAAGGCAACCCCAAAACTATCCCTGTTTTCTCAGGCATGTGGGGGCCAAGGTGGAGGATTGCAGGGCGATCTCTTCTCACCCCCCTCCATCCTTTGCAGACATCCTCTGGAAGAGGGGCTTCCTCTCCAGAGGGCTGGTGGGGCACTGTGCTCTTGGGGCAAAGGTACTGGCACCTGGACACCTGCTGCTACTGTAGAGCTCTTGCCCTTGTGTAAAAGATGGCTTTTAAGCAAATCTTTCTACTATTTAATTTGAAGGAAAGAAGAGGAAGGTTCAAGGACCTCATCCATCCCAAATACCTAAGAACCACTCTGCAGATATGGATCATATGGTAATTTTTTTTTCTTTCTTTCTTTTTTTTTTTCTTCTTCTCTTGCTTATCAGCTTTGCAGGACAGGGTGACTCAGTCAATGAGAAGCAGGAGAACTCATATCAGCCCACAATGAACACCACATGTGCCCTCAGTTTGGTTTCACTTCATGTTGCCAGCTTGTTCATCCAGAGAGGAGGACAAATGCACTGCTTCGCAGGCCAGCCCACGTATCAGTGAGACAGGGCTCAAACAGAAACTCATTAACTGGTACGACTGCCACTGGCTGGGGAAAATTAAGATTGAAGACAGACGAGTTTCATTTGCCATGTTCCCAGTAGCTGTATGCATGGGTAATATATGTTTCATTGGCTGGGCTGTCTGGAATGGAAATGTATAAATAATGGGTCCGTGGGAACTCATTGACCCAAAATCTTGCTAAGTCAGGCTTTGAATATTTTATGTTTTCCCCTCAACTTGCATGAGTATTATGAAATATCTTTTTGTTTTTAATCCTGCTTTCTCTCCTACTCCCCCAGGAGCTACTGGCGTGTTCTCAGGTTTGCGTCCCCATCCCTTCATGCCCTCAGCATCCCCCATGTCCCCAGGCAACTCATTTCATAGCCTGCATTCTGGAGCTTGTTTCTGAAACTGCCGGGGGGATAAAAAAAATAATGAAAAATTACTTCTCAGCCTGCTTATGATTAGGCATATGCTGAATTACTTGATAATGACACAGCGAGGCTGCCACCACCAGTGCCCCGGTCTTGACAGCGAGCCAGGGTGCGGTGTGAGTCTCTCCAGCAGGATAATGAAAACTCCTTTTAAAAATCACTGTGAAGGAAGGACGAGGAATAAAACACTTGGACAGCTACTGCGTTTGAGCTGCAAGCACTGGGGTCTGATTTAGAGACACCCTTCAGGCAGGGGAGGTTTAGAAGTGTCTCCCCATACAGACTGGAATAAGACAAGGGACTACAGTGGCACACGCTCCCTGCCATGACCACGACATTGCTGCCTCCCAGCCTGGAAGGACCAGCAATTGGGGTGGACACTGGGACAACTTGTTCCCAGCTGGATCACCGCAGCTCCTGCCCAGAGGCAGCAATACTTTGCAAAGCTGTAGGCTACAACCAGCATTTATGGAGGAGCTGAGAGATGTAGGAGCATTTCCTTCATTTAAAAGTGGAGCAGGAAGGTGGCAGTGTGGGCTGCGAACATCTGGGCAGAGCAGTAGTGTTAATGTCAGAAAGTGCCTCAGGATTTTATCAATTACAAATCAGCAAGCTCTTGGCATTAATCTCTTAACAAGAGCCTGTAGACTTCATGGCTTCTTCACTTCCTTTCCCTGGGGTAACACAGCAATGATGGGAAGGGGAAAAGACAACACACATGCAGCATTGCACCCTGCTTTCTCAGAGTGGCTGTGGGGCAGTGGAAATGCAGGGGTGAGCTTCACCCTCATCGGGGTGCTTGGCAGTCCAGGTGTCCTGCAGCACAGCAAAACCCAGCACTAATGAGCAAGCGATCACAGAGTTACGAGCTAGGGTGGAGGAAGAGAGGTGTGTGGACATGTGGCAGTGCTCTGCCATGCACTGGGTGCCCGCTGAGCTGGTGGGTGCCCGTGTCACCACTGGGCTCATGCTCATGGGGTGCCCATCCTGCAGCACCACTGTGCAGGGAGAGTCCCAAGACACCCGAAACCTGCTGCATTTCAGTGCCAGAGTGTTTCCTCACCTTCCCCGTCAATGTCCTCATTCATCCCCACAGGCTTGGCATAGCTTTCGCTTATTACGGAGTCATCTTGGCCAGCGCCGAGCTGCTGGAGCGGGACCTGAGCTGCGGCTCCACAGCACCGCTGGGGGAGGAGGACCCCGGCCCTGCCTCGGAGGAGAGCCGCAGCCCCTGCCACTGCCGCCCGTTTGGCCCTTCTGCGTATCAGACCATGATCATCAGCACCGCCGGGGAGATCGCACGTAACCTCCTCTCCCCTCCCTGCCCTTCCAGGCCCCCAGTACCACCAGCTTGTGCTCACTGTGCCATGCTGCTCACTGAGCACCCAGTGGGGTCAGCAAGCATTTTATGCTTCTCCTTTCTGTCTCTAGTAAATCCTGTGAACATCCTCGGCATCAACTTCCTCGGAAGACGCCTGAGCCTGTGTATCACCATGGGATGTACGGCGCTCTTCTTTCTTCTCCTTAATATCTGCACCTCCAGGTAGTCGCCATCAGCATGCGGGTGTTGTTGGGGGTGGGTGCAACTTCCCCTACGTGTACAACATTTTGCTTTCATGCAGGCTGGGGAAATAGAAATGATGTGAACAACATCCATGAGAAAGGATACTCACTCTTCTTTTTCTTTTTTTTATTATTATTATTATTTTTTATTTTTTAGCTGTGGCAGTTAAGTCTCTTCTAACTTGTAGAGCCAGGCACTTCAAAAAGAGCTCAGAGCTCCAAGGGAAAGGTTTTGTGAGTACTGTAATTACCAGGCTGGTTCCCTCTCAAGCTAGCAGAGCCTAACAGCTCCTAAAAGTCAGGGGGCTGCAAGTTAAACTCTGCTTTAAGCTAGACTGGGAGGCTGCAAACAGCCATTAAGGTAAACGAGCCCCTGTGAGGAGTCATTAACTTGGGTACCAACCTCTTTGCTGCTATTACTGTTATTATTTTCAGTTTTCTCTGCCTAATCTCTAGCCTGAGACAGCCAGCATGTTTGCTTGCAGCTTCTTTATAGAAGTAGCAAATGTCCTGCCAATGGACTGAAAAATTATTACACTTGTCCAGCAATCAACTTTTCCTTATTTTAAAAGCCCTATCACAGAGAATACATTAGGTTGTGTCTCTGTTGATCACTGTTCAGTGACACTAACTCTTTGCTCCACGCTGCTTCCCCTTTAGCGCAGGCATGACTGGGTTTCTCTTCATGCTTCGTGCCTTGGTTTCAGCAAACTTCAACACCATCTACATTTACACAGCAGAGGTGGGTCCTTCTGAAATTATGTGAAGCTGCTGGGGCATGAAAGCCCATTTGCCAGGAATGCTGATATATTTCTTGACGAGTTTGAGTTACCTTTCTTGAACTAAATACGTCTTGCTTCCTGACTACACTTTTCTTATATAAGAGAAGGAATCAGAAAACTGGTTGGAGGTGAGAAGAGCAGGTGGGACAGGAATGCCCTACTGAGCCACCTGTTGGTCAGCTGCTACTAAATGCGATTTTTGAGGGTGTTGTGTATGGACATCTTCCAGAAGTCTCCATCTTCCCCCTTCCTATCCCTCTGAAGTTAGACAATAGGCTACCACTGAAAGGAACATTTGCCAGCACTTAAGGGACTGATGTAGTTAGTATATCGAGTTTTTATTTATATATATATACATATATATATATATGTATATTATCACCTAGTGGAATTTTTGTGTTCTGTCTACAAATAATTTTGATCCTTTAGAGAGCTTCTCCTTCATACAACTTTGGAGCAGTGAGTGCTGTGGGTTACCTACCAATTGTTTTCATTTAAAAACACCATTGTGTGAAATTTAATGTATTGACTTTCAGATTGAGTAAAGTGATAAAAAGCTAATAGTTGTAGCTGCCTGGGTTGGCCTGATAGTGTGCCATACTTCTTTTAATAGCACACTATATTTACACGTGCACCAGACTTGAATAAATACCAGCCTTTAATAGTCCAGAATCAGATGCTGTTGATGTGAAGACCATTGCTGGAATAGCCATATGATAAACCATCAATACACACAAAGTAATTGAGGATCAAAACCAAACTTAGAAATGCCCTTCCCGTCCACATGCCTGGACTCTTCCTGACTTACCTTACATCCTCTGGCTTGGATTGATAAAATATAAAAACAAAGGCTTAAATGACAATACTTGCTAAAATCTGTTGACATTAATGGGATGTAACTAAAGTTAAGCAAAGCACGTACTTAAGTGCTTTATTGTCACAGGTGTTGTGAAAATATGAGATATGAAAAAGCAAATACACAAAGCATGTTCCTCTAAGCCTGGAGGTTTCTTAACAGCATTTCATTTTCTTTCTCCTCCTTCTAAACAAAGGCGTTGATGCAAGTAAATAGGCTGTCTTGAAGGCTGCAGACAATATCCTTTTTTGGGGTTTTCAGATTCAGGGCCTGGCAATATAGATTGATTTTTTCCTTTAGCACCTAGCTTATGGTCTGTGACTGACCTGAGCAGCTCAGTGTAACTAGAAGAAAGGTGTGTGTCTCACCCTAAACCTCTACTTTGGGCAAGAAATGTCAGATTTCTAATGGCACAAATAAGACACAAAGGAACCTTTAATTCTTTTTATATTTTAAGAATATGGCTTTCCATATCTTATGAATCTGGCTGCAATGGGTATCTCTGAAGGAAAAAAAAAAAGAAAAAGAAAAAGGGGGACACATATCACAGAACATTGTCACGTTAATCCTATTTCTTTCTGGCCTGGTTTAGGTTTATCCCACTACAATGCGAGCCTTGGGGATGGGAACAAGTGGGTCATTGTGCCGTGTTGGAGCTATGGTGGCACCGTTTATCTCACAAGTAAGAGCATAGCTGATAATGTTGGTAAACCTTGAGGCAAACATTGTTATCAAATACACTGACACATGCTCTTGAAGTTCACAAAAAAAAGCTGATGCACTCAATCTAGGTTGTGGTGGTTTTTTTCCAACTCATTAGTTCTTTATCTGACATTTATGCAGAGTATTTTGGTGGTCTTTGCCAGATGTAGATCTGGATTAATCTCTTCACAGAGCTTAAATTGTGAGAATTTGTTGCTTTCTGAAAACTCTTAGATTCACAAGACAGATTGTTTTTCTGGCTGTTGAGTATCTCAGGTGTTTGTAACCCATCGTCCACTCTTTAATTCCTAATTAAATGCTGTGTCCCAAAATCAAACTATTGTTTTTTTATCTGCAGGTTCTTATGAGTGCTTCTTTCCTTGGGGCCCTGTGTCTTTTCTCATCCGTGTGTGTTGTGTGTGCAATCTCTGCGTTCACGCTGCCCATTGAGACCAAGGGCAGGGCACTGCAGGTTTGTATTGCCACTCCAGGAGCTCCTGCATAGCTAAAGGCTATTTAGAAACTAGTAGGTTTTGATTTGGCCAGAAAGCACCCCAAACTCTTCTGAGGGTTCATAAGGCAAAATAAGGACTGACAGATAAACAGAGGAAGGTGCTGTCATAGCAACTTAAAGCACTGTTACCCCAGTTGCCTCAGCTCATTTCTCATGTAAGAACAAACAAGAACGCCAGTCCTAACCCCAGCTCCCTCATGGCAGCATGTTAACCTAAATTAGCGTAAGCACTTCTTTGTCCCAACTTGAAATTGCTGTGCATATTCTGCTCTGCCTCTCTTGTATGCAGAGATAATAGCAGATACAAGTAACACCTGAAACTACTAAATCCACTTCTATATCAAATTCAAGTCAAATGCCCCAGCTGCATCAGCCCTTTAACCTAAACCCTTGTGACTAGTGTTTCCTATAAAGCTTCAGAGGCAGTCAGACAAAACACTAAGCACAAAGATTGAGAAGGAATGTCAGTTTGAACTCTGATAGCCTCCTATGCCCAAGTAGCACTGATTTAATTACTAGAGGTGGTGAGCAATTCTGTGGTTACAGGCAATTCAGCTGTACCAGCATGGAAATTTTCATACCATGCAAGAGGCAGGTCTGCATCACTCTGCATATCCCTCTGCAGTCTTACCCTATAAGCCAGAAGACCATGGGCTAGGTAATCCACGTTCTTTAGCAACCTAGGGTCAGACAGATGTTTGGCCAAACTGCTTTATGTGGAATTCAGGACCAGACTTAATATATATATACATATACAAACACATACATGCATTATATGCATACAGACATGCACACTGAATTTCATTGGGTAACATCTAAGGTTTCCCATGGGTATGTGGGACAGTTAACCTTAGAGATTTTGGGAAAGAAACATATTAATCATTGCTTGCCTCTTAAAATGCATGTCTTTTAGAAATATGGACTCATGTTTTTATGCCATTTTAAAATATCTACATGATATTTTGTAAATGACTAGAAAAAAATATAAAAGCTTAAGAAGCTTTAAGTGAAATTTAATAGGAAGAAATTTGAGTAGACAAAGCAACTCATTTTTCCCATGTGGGTGAAATTCAACCCCATGCACAGATGCCAGGGACCCACAATCCCTCAACTGGTTGGCTTTACAAAAATTATTAAGCAAACACTTCTTCAAAACTGCTTTAAACGCAAAAGGAAACCTCTGATTCAGATACAGATAGATTAATGTTGGCTAGTAGTGGCTGAGATAAATAGGAATGTAATGATTCCTTAATGGGAGGGGCTCCTCCCCTGCAAATGTAATGGCATTATTACTTGCTACAAATAAGAGTAATAAGCTCCAGTTGCTGGCCTTCACATGCACAAGTCAAAAGGACATAAAAATAAAAATCTCTAGGTCTAGTTGTGTACTACAAGACATTATCATTAGATCGTATATTCAGTTTGGTTATTCTTTAGAGGTCATTTCAGAGATGATATTTGTATACGTAGTGTCATTCAGGCATTGCTGAATCACGACTGTTGAATGTACTAAGGGCAGTCATCTAACCCATTATAAAGTTTAAATGCACAATGTAAAAGCTCTTGAACAAGGCAATATTTAATCCTAAAGCTCCAAACAATAGATTTGTATCTCAACACTAAGTGAAACAACTGAATGAATCACATGTAGGAAATGTTTTGTGGAATCTGAACAATGACATTTAAAAATCATACTGTCCATTGTCTGGATGGAGACCAGTGAGGAGGTGTCCGCTGAGGGCCCATACTGGGACTGGAACTGTTCAGTGTCTTCATTGGTGACATGGGCAGTAGGATTCAGTGCACCCTCAAGTGAGGCAAGTTTGACACCAAGCTGAGTGGTGCAGTTGATGCTCTAGAGGGAAGGGATGCCATCCAGAGGGACCTGAGTGGTGGGCCAGTGTGAAGCTCATGAAGTTCCACAAGGCCAAGGGCATGGCCCTGCACATGGCTCGGGGCAGTCCCAAACATCAGTACAGACTGGGGGATGAATGGATTGAGAGCAGCCCTATGGAAAGGGACTTGGGGGGGGGGTCTGGGGGATGAAAAACCTGATGTGAACAGACAAAGCGTGCTTGCAGCCCAGAAAGCCAACCATATCCTGTGCTGCATTGAAAGAAGTATGGGCAGCAGGTCTAGGGAGGTGAATCTGCCCATCTTCTCTGTTCTCATGAGACTCCACATGGGGTACTGTGATAGGTTCTGGGACCCCAACATACATGTCAGAAGGACATGAAAGGAGGGCCACAAAAACAAGCAGAGGGCTGGAACACCTTTCCTATCAAGGGACTGAGAGAGTTATTTAGCCCAGAGAAGGGTTCAGGGTGATGTTACTACCAGCAGGTGTAATGATAAAACAAGTGGTAATGGTTTTAATCTGGAAGAGGGTAGATTAGATATAAAGAACAGTTGTTCAGTTGCTCACTGTGAGGGTGGCGAGGTACTGGAACAGGTTGCCCGGAGAAATTGTGGATGCCTCAACCCTGGAGGTGTTCAAGGCCAGGCTGGATGGGGCTTCAGGCAAAAGGTGTGTCCCTACCCATTAGAAGGGGTTGGAACTAGTTTAATATTTAAATTCCTTTCCACTCCAAACTATTCCACGATTCTATTCTGTATCTGTCTCAGGTTATTAGGACAGCATCAGTCTGCTTTCAAAATAGCCATGAGGATTGCCTATCAGAGGCAAGACCATTAGAACACATAACCAAGTGGTTGTTCTTTTCTTCTGTACCCATTTTTGTTTGTTTTCACGTGCATTCTATTAATTTTTTGTGTTTATTTTCCCCCTTTTTTAGCAAGTAAAATGAAAGCAAGTATTTGATGGTGGAGTGGATAGGAAAAAAAAATAAACCTTTGGAACCTGTCATTTCCTGTGAGCTGCATTTGATGGTTGCTTCTCCATACCCTTTCCATTATAAAAAAAGAAAAAGGTAACTGGAACAGTGTAAAAGCTATGATTTGCATAGACAAAGGGCAACTTTCTCACATACATTCCCTTTCCTGTGATTCAATAAAAAGATGCTTTCTACTGATCCTGTGAAGCAAGATGAAGACTGTTTACCACTAGTGCTAATAGTAGTGCCAGTGTCACGTTGCAAAAAAATGGGAAACCACCACTGTTATCATTGCTTCAGGGAACTGAGGCAATGAAGAAAAAAAAATACATGAAGTAGATAGGGGCTTCACAATAGCAGCCTGAAAGAATGCATTACTTACCTTTAAAAAACAAAATAGCACTCCTCAAATACTTGTGCGTACGTCATCTGAATTGAAGTGGCTAATTTTAACATCTCAAACGTCATTACATGGGCAATTTCTGAAGGTTCTTAGGGTAGCATTCGAGATCACAAGACAAAAGTTGAGTCTGACTTTTCCAGTGGGTTATTTAAACACACATGTTCAAAAAGTTTACTGAAAGAATTTTCTTGTCTTCATGCCCACTCACCCACATGCCTGATGGTAGCACACAGATGAGGTTCTTAGGAGGGAGGAGGCAAGCACAGCTTACCACAAGAAGTTCCTTGAAGACCTACCTAAGGGCTTTCTGTACCAAAGCATCCGTGTCCTGACAGCAGCTGTGGCAGGCTGGCACAGAGCTAGCCTGACCCATCACACTTAAGATGGCATGCCAGCAAAGCACACAAATCACACGCTCATCTGGACATTCAGATCTAACAGTGATGGTCTGAATGGCCAGCTGCCACAGCTCCCCAGTTAATGCAAGAGTAAGCCAGTGGGCTGGATGCCCAAGAGCCTGACTGACTTCTCAGCAACTATCACCTGCATTGCTTATGCAGCCTCTTCCTCCAAGCTAGTAAGGAACCAAGAACAATTTCAGCTACTATGTTAAGAGCATGCCTGTTTTTGTTGTTTGTTTTTAAATATTTTTCTTATGAAAACACACGTGAAGCTTGATGAAAACGGGAAATAGACTGATGTAAGGTCATTCCTTAGCTTCTTTTCCACCTTCAGCTCAGGAGGATTTTTTTATTATTATTATTTTTTGGTTCTCTCTGTTTTGAACTATACTGCTGCAAAGTCTGAATGAAAACCAGACTATAGAAGTCTTATACCTCACTCACACTTCTTAACAAAACAGAGCATTAGGTTGTGGGTTGGTTGGGTTTTTGTGTTTTGTTGTGTGTGTTTTTTTTTTTTTTTTTTTTTTTTTTTTTTTTTGTTTGGAATAAACTATTTTTAATTTGTTCAAGTGTTGGTTGCATGATTTCAAAATTTTCTGTTTTGAAGTGAAAAATCAGAAGCAGAGAGAGAAGCAAGTGGACTGGAAGAGCACAGCAACACTCATCTCCCCAGTATTTTCCACTGAAGAACAAGCTGTGTATGAAGGTGTATAGGTGTCTAATTTCAGTGCTCACTGTGTTAAGCCTAATAAACATGTGCTTGCAACTTAAGGTCCAGAGAAACACTTGTCAGCTTCCTCTGGAAGCACACTTTCTGAGTGCATACATATACGGCAGGGAAACACAAGCAGCACTTGTGTCTATGCTTGCCAGTGATCTATCCACAGCACCATTATCTGTGCTACATGGCAAGTAAAAAGCAGGCTTGTGTACACACGCATCTTTGTAATACCATCTGAAACATACTGGCACCATCGGAGCTCAATTAATCCAAGAGACTGCTTGTTCTCCCTAAAACTCAGTTTTCATTTAAGATGACACAAATGAAGAATATAAATCAATAGCTGGAGCAGCCACAGACAAGTACTTCACTAAATCTGAAATTGCTGAGGGCAGAAACGACTGTCTATGTGACGGTCAGCACCTCTGGAAAGTAGACAGAACAACAACAACAAAAGTTTGTCCTCATCTGATAATTTTAACAAGAACATATGAAGGGTCAAAGAACAGGACTTTTTTTTTTTTTTTTTTAAAAAAAAAAATCTTCCTCTTCAAACTTGTGTACTTCCAAGAGAATAACAATGCTGGTTGTATGCTCACAAACAATATCTAGGAATTTGGAAAAACAGCAAGACCTTGTGGATGAAAGAATATTTCCCTCCCTCCCCCAAACATACCCAAAGATTGACTGGTAGTTGCAAGCAAACATTTTTTCCTCCAGACTTAGCCTTTGACTCCATTAAACAGAAACACATCAAACTTATGAGACACTTGTTAAACAACATAGTACAGAAATACCATTATTTCTTGCTGGTGCTGAGAAAAGTGGTACAAAAGCACTGTATCCTTTGTTTCCTCTATTAAAAACTCTCAAATTCCTTTTTTCTTTCCTTTTTTTTTTTTTTTTTTTTTTTTTAAAGTTTTTTAATACACTCTCCCTTACATTTTAAAATGACCGATAATGTCTTTGGGAGTAACTACATTTTCATTGTACCAGTCAGTATTGTAGGACAACAATGTTACACCACCTCTTCTCATGGCTTGTGTTAAATACAGTACAAAAATCAAGTTATGGCCAGCCACATGCCTTTGGTAAAATTAAATGTCCAGTGAGATCACATTTTCTTCAAACTCAGAAAGCCATTCAGCTGAATCCATGTAATGTTTTAAAACTTAGTTCTATACAAACTTATTTTCTTCCTCAAAGAGAAGTTAAACAGCTGTCACTCCATACAAATCACAAATTCTGTTCCGGTTCCATAAGTATGATGAAAGTTTGGAACTTCAGAGAAGCTTTCCACATGCCTTGGATCTCCATTAGATTTGTGTTTCAGACAAGGTGTAGGAAGTCTAGTAAATATCCACAAACCTACAGGTCAAAGCAGTCATGACTTTTCCCCTTTTTACAATTGACTGATAAATATTCTTAGTTTTTAAAAAATGTTCCACAGTCACACATGCGTCTCATTTAAGCAACTGACGGTCTTCTCCTTTGAGGCGTTTTTTCCGGGGCTGTACAAAGTCATCATCTGAGTCATCACTAAGTTCTGTGTTCTCTCTTTCACTCTGGCAGTTCGGCTGTACAGGGAACTTTCTCTCAGGATACAGGCTCGTTAGAAGTTCTTCAAAGTAAGCTTCAAGTTTCATGCCAGCATCAGCCACTTCTGAATCAGGCTGTTGGGTGAATTAACAACATCAATACATCATGAAATAGCTTTATACCTAAAGGACTTAATGTGATTTAAGTGCTTTCATAAGTTACAAAAATCAAACAGCAGTAAGAACAGCACCAAGAATAGCATCTTGGGAACACATGGTACCCAACAGCACAAGCCTGCAAAACAGAGGGAGAGG